TGAACTAGTTCTAGCCTACCACATGCCGTCTTCAAAGAGACTTATTCATGAGATAGTTATAGAAAATTTCAAAGAAGGCTGCGTCGTTTTCAAGGAGTTATTATTTCTCTGGTTATCTGGGTAATATTCCCGCCATATGCAAGCCCGGTAAATGTGGGCATTAGGTTAAAACAAAAAGCACGCGATACCGTTCAACACAGTGAGAACACAAGATGAATATTTACAACTTATATGATATTGGGCTTGTTACTATATTTCACCCGGTAAACGAAGCTATCGACGAAATCTTTAGTTTCAAGTCCACCGTAGAAAGCGGCTTTGGGTTAGCTTAGGAGCACAGGAATTTTCAATGGTTATGGCTGGAAATTATTGACGTTTACTAGTATTTGACATTCAGTAAGTGTCAACCACCAATTCAACTTGATATAGCGCACTCAACACAACACAACCGATTGGTCTTTGTCATCACCTTCAGGGATTATGAAAGGCTCCCATATCCATCCCATATCAGTTTCTTTGTTCCTGACAGCCCCACAACCATAGGTATGTGCGAAACAAGGGATGGTTAAGTGTTCGGAACACAAACTTGGGGTTCGGCGGTTCGTTTCCTGAGATTTACAGTGCAAGTGAACCTCAGCGAGGGTGGGACAGATGTACAGTGCTTCGCAGTTTCGCTTACAGGACGAGACGTTGATTGAAATAGGCTGATCAGTTCTCTTTTTATCAATGGTAGGAATATATTTCGTATTCCTTCGCGTTCACTGAAGCTTGTAGTTTGTTGGCTTTAAAACTCATGCGTGCTTTCGTATGGTAGTGTATGTCTGTGTGTAGTGTGTAGTGGCTGTCTTCATGGCACGAAACTACGCATGCGTGTTACGACTCCGTTTCATATATTCAGCAAAACCCATTAGAAATCTGACGATGTTCTACTTATCCGAAATGATGTGCAGGTGAGTGGCACGAAATGGTGCTTCGCAGTTTATCCATAATAATAATAATAATAATAATAATAAGACATTTCTGCTAGTCAGCATTGGCAGAATTCCGGTTAGGAGTAAATGTTTCCTAATTTTTTTGTTGGTTCGAGCAGAAGGCAGCAGAAAGAGACCGAGGTTCCCGGGCGGATTAGTTATTCAATGTCTGGGGAAGGAACAAGAAACGGCTTGGCAAAAACTGTACCGTGAATTCCAGGTTTGTAGTTCCTTTTCCTATTTCAAATGATAGCGAAAGAGGTAATGAAAGCAGCATAAAATCTCATTTTCAGTAAGAATCGATTCGAATAGGGAAGAATAGAGGTTGCGTGCGCGTGGTAGCAAGTAGCTGGTCATAAGTTCAGTACGTCAGCGGCCGTTCTTTTGGCCCCCGAAATTCAAACGTGGCACTGAATGTAGTGCAATTGGAGTGACCAAGTGACCAAAGATTGACAGCATCTGAATGAAGTTGCCTGTGTTCAGCTCACTTCAGTTCAGTTCAGTTCAGTTCAGTTCAGTTCAGTTCAGTTCAGTTCAGTTCAGTTCAGTTCAGTTCAGTTCAGTTCAGTTCAGTTCAGTTCAGTTCAGTTCAGTTCAGTTCAGTTCAGTTCAGTTCAGTTCAGTTCAGTTCAGTTCAGTTCAGTTCAGTTCAGTTCAGTTCAGTTCAGTTCAGTTCAGTTCAGTTCAGTTCAGTTCAGTTCAGTTCAGTTCAGTTCAGTTCAGTTCAGTTCAGTTCAGTTCGTAGGGACGATATTGCAGCTATCACGGTATATTTTCATAAAGGGAACTTCTCAAAAGGTTGCCGAAATCTCTTCGAACTAGAAATTCATTTGAGTATCTCGTGAAGGAAATCGCTCTGCCAATGAGCGTAATTCTCGAAAACAATCCAATTCAGGTTCAAATAGAACATACGGTTGACGGAAACTCGGGGACTTCGCTTATCTGATGAGCCTTAAAAGGGCAAATCCAACGTGGGCTGTCGAAGAGTTTTCAGCACCTTTGCGAGTAGTTTCGTTTTTAAGATTTTTTATATACAAATGCAAAATTTTGAAGAACAATTGCAGAACAAGTCGATGTACAACCAACAACAAGCAGGAACCATCGATGTGGTTAAGCGGTGGATACCACACAGCTGATGAACTGGAGTGGGATCATATCAATATCTCTGTCGCGATTTCCATGTAGCGTTGCTTTGATAGCTTGTCTCTTTCCAGTATTAATCTCTAAGACCAGCCAAATGTTGAGAGAACTCTCGATTCCAACCGTAAATTGCTTGGTTGAAAGGAAACGATTGTCCTGAAGCTTGTACCGTCGGACTCACCAGGGTCCGACCATCTGGACTGACGTTCCTGTGCGCTTCGACATTGGTTTTCTTGGGACAGTAATTGTGCGAGTTACATTAGCACTTAGAATTGACCAAGCACGAACACGCAGCAATACAGTTCATCAACGTTACATCCTTCCGCGAAGCATTATAGACCATTTTGATCCCACGAATTGTTCAAAATCTTCATTAACGAAATCTCCGCTTACAACACTTGACTAGTGTGGTGTAGGATTTTTCTTCTTCAAACTACTGAGTGCTTATTAGAAAAACTTGCTTCCGGTCAGTTGTTATCCACTCTTCCTCCCATGAGAAACCGATCCCGTGAATGAATCACACGTTATATTCTTGGACGTTTAGTCAGCGCGCACAGATTACCCCTGGATCTCCAAACACGCCTGATTGAAGGCTACACCTGCACGACTAAATTACTGACCACTATTGTCACACAACAGTAAGTGCGAGCATTAACAATTCTAAGGTAACCCATCCCTAGTGAAGACGTTCTCGGAATTCACAACACTGTAAAGAGGAAGTACATTGGAACGCACAGGCATTTTGCAGGTTAGTAGAATCTTATACGACTTAATCTGACAGTGGAGAATGGTTGCCCAGACAATTCCTTGTATGAATGGCTAACTGATATAACTTCGGTGGATTATCGGCAAGCAAAGTTGCCGCACTGATTTCGAAATTTTCAAAACCGCCTCGATCGCTTTCTCTTCCTTCACATTCAATATCGATAGCTGTTCCAACCATAATTTCATCTTATCCTGCAAGTTTGTCATTACTTCAAAAACCTCGATATCCGTACAGCAGTTCGTTTGGGGAATTCATTAAC